TATATATTCTAAGATTTTTTACGTAAAAATTGAAGTATTTCCTTCCGCTTACTTTTCTTTAATTACCTGTATGTGATGGTTTTTCATGCAACTCTAAGATGATAATTCATTACTCTATCATCGCAGACCTTCTAACATGCATTAATAATAATATTAATAAAATAGAGGTTGATTACATTAAAAAGATATTTTCATGTCCTTGGCTTAATTATGTAAGAAAAAAATTGTGGCTTCAGAATATATATGTTTTTTTTTTTCATCAATCGATTGGGTATAGGATTTTCACGTTGACACATATACATAAATATATATATACATACATACATACATACATACATATCTTTCTAACTTTTGCATTTTTATAGCCAAGCTTAAGCTTGATTTTATTTGGCCTTGCTTATACTGCACGGCTTGGCTTGGACTTCCCTCGCATTAATTAGATTAGTTATGCTACTCTAGATTATGCTACATTGAGAGATTGGCTTATCGCACTTTGTCTTGGCTTAACTTCGATTAATGACATTGGCAATTTCACTTTGCATGGCTTAGTTAAGCTTACAATAAACTCCCTTCTCCATGGCTTAATTTTGCATATCCTAGTCAAAATAGCTTGAGTTTGCTTTTTTAACCTTAGCTTATTAGTGTTATATACCACTTGACTATTTGAGATTAGCTCGAATAGTTTATGGTTTCTTAACTTAGGCTTATTAGCATTATTTGGCTAAATTAGTTTTTCATAGATGTTCATTACTTTGCCTTGCTTGGCTTGATCTAGCACATTTCATTATAGTGCATCATTTAGCTTTCTTAGATTCACTTGGTTTAGTTTGTTGCTAAATATCTAAGTGTTAGTTTGCCAATATGATTGAATATGCATAGGATTTGTAAATAGCATTTTTTTTCATCGTTAAGAATGTAGAAAATATATGTTAATTTAAGTTGTTTTAATTTTTGTGTTTCAAGAAAACCGTTGAGAGAATCAAAGATGCTTCCATCAAAGATATCAAATGATCCACAGTGATTGATAAGAGATATTATAAGTTTATGTTTGTTGTAAGCCTAAAGTACTGAGATGACAATTATAAATTTAACTTGTGCACCTTCAACTATGCTTATATGTACTTGCTTAAATAGATATTTATGAGATACCTTGCATAAAAAAAAATTTTACCAACAGTATTCACACAAAATGTTGAGTTAAATATTTTATTATAATACTAATGATTTAGCTTATTTTTTCTCTATTCTTGATAACTTTCTTTTTTCGTTAGTATGGATTACACTTGAATGATCATACCAAAATGGAGTAAAGAATATCTAAAAGTAGTTAAAATTTTTAGAGTTCCCTAGTCAGAACATATATTTATCAAAAAAAAAATTTATGTTGTTATAAATCAAGTATTAAAAGATATTTTCATTCGATGAGCAATATTAAAGATTACTTAATCTCGAAGTAAATTTTCT